GCTGTGGGAAGGGAGCGGTGGTATGGGTGGGGCCCCGCTCTCAGAGAGCCCTGCACCCCCTTTCCTTTCCCGAGCACCTCCCCTCTCCCTCCCTCACCTGACCTCGCCTTCTCGATGTCCACTACAGAGCCACGGAGGCGCTGGCCCCGCGCGGGGCTTGGATGCGTCCCCTGATGGGGTGCTCACTCCACTAGCTCTGCCCTTCCATTTCCTCGAGTGAACGCGGGGACACCAGCTGCTCCGGTGGGAGGACCAATCTGAGACACGCGCGGGGCGGCGCTGGCACATGACACTGAGGCTCATTCCACCCCCCGAGCCCCAACGCTCCGAGGAATCCTGTCAGGTGACAGGTCTCCCCTCCACCGCGCTCCTGCCCTCCACCCAGGCTCCCAGTTCCTATGAAGAAGATGGACCGCCCAAGAGCGCCCTCTCTGGAGACCTGAGCTGGGAGCCCAGAGGCTGAGTGGGGAGAGGAAGCAGGAGTGAGATCCCGGGGACACATCCCCAGAGCGGAGCAGGGACATGCTTTCTTCCTCCTGAGGAGGAACAGGGAGGCCCCAGAGGAGCTGAGCCAAGCCCCTGGGAGCTCAGGAGCAGCCCTGGGCCGGGCAGGAGGTGGGGACCCCTGTCAGTATCCAGGGGGTTCCCAGGATGTCCACCCTCTGCTGGGAGCTGTAGGAGACAGCTGTCTCGCCTCCTGGCTACCCCTTCTTCTTTGCCTGCCAGTCACGAGATTAATTTTTGAAAACACAAGTTAAAAAATAATTGACAGCCCGATTCCCAGTTCCTCCATGGCTGTGGGCCCGGGACAAGGCCCATTTCGGACCTCAGCCTCTGTCCCCATGCAACGGAGAAGGGGGACAGCCTCATCCCGTTATTTGCCCCGGGGAATGAGGGGCTGTGCTGGGTCCTGCGCTGGCCTGCCCAAGAGGGTGCGGCGGCTGGAGCAGCTTCTTCTCTTGAGCTCTGTCCCAGCCCCGCTTTCTCTACTAGCCCGGAACTCAGCTCTCACGGCTTCAGCGCCTGCAGGCCTAACCATGGGTGGGCAGTGGGGGCAGAGAGGGGGCACCAAGCAGAAATGGCCATGGCTGCCCTGACTGAGGGGCTCAGTTGGTTGGAGCATCATCCTGTACACCAAACAGATGGTGGGTTTGATACTCCGTCAGGGCACATCCCTAGGTTGTGGGTTTGATCCTCAGTTGGGGCACAGATAGGAGGCAACTGATCGATGTTTCTCTCTCACATCAATCTTTCGCTTTCTCTTTCTTTTTCCCTTCCTCTCTCTCTCAAATCAATTAAAAAAAAACAAACACATCCTTGGGTGAGGATTAAATAATAATAAATGGCCAGGGCTTCAGGCCGCTAGCACACCAGCCCTTAACCTTCCACACTGCTCCCCTGCTGCCTCTGCTGCTCACGTCAGGCAAAGCTCCAGTGGCCTCTGCCAGGGACTGTGGCACCCTCAGGCCAGTCAGGCATTTGGTTCCTGGGCCTGCACGGATGGCTACAGAGCACCAAAGCGGGTGAGCCCTGGACCTGGGCCTGGAGACGCCTCCAGCCACCTGGCCCCACAGCCTTGCAGGAATCTGGTCCCTAAGGTGTCCATAGTATTGTCTTAGGGAGCCCATGTGGGCAGTTAAAACCCCTGCTGCCACCGGCACCCCGAGAAAGCCTTCCCCTCTGCCTCTCTGTTACACAGCCAGAGGAGGCGGCTGAGCTGACGTGCAGCCCCAGGTGCCTTCCTGTACAGCACAGGGTGTCTCCCAGGTGTGCTCACCCACAGAACCCACCTGCTTCCCCACAGGCTTCCCCGGGAGGAAGGAGGACCCTCTGCCCACTGTCTCTGCCAGGAGCATCCTCGCAGACACGATGGCCCCCTCCTTCGCTCACAGGGGTGAGCTCAGCATTTCTGTGTGTGCCTGGACTACATCTCCATCCTTCCTGGTGCCCAAGGAGGCAGGGAGACAGGAGTGCCAGTGCTACCCCTGCTGGGCGTTCCCCTGCTCGAAGCTGTGGGAGGGGCTGGGCACCGGGAGCAGGTCCTGCAGGGAGGGCCTTGGGCTCACACAGGAACCCATCACCTTCGTGAGGCTCCCCTAGGAGGGTCCGAGCTCCATGAGGCAGGGCCTTCGTTCTGTTCACTGCTGTGCCCCAGTGACTGACATGTTTGCACACGGGGGCGTGACACCTATCTGTTGAATAAATGTGTGTGTGTGTGTGCATGTGCGTGCGCGCGCGTGTGTGCAGATGTAGAAATACTTGGTATACTAAGTATATCCAGTACAGGCCTTATATCCAGAATATAAAAAACTCAAACAAATTAAAAGTCAGAAGACCTGAGTGTTTAAAAATGTACATAAGACTTAAGAAGATATGTCACACAAAAAGGATATGCAAGAGGATGATAAACATAAGAAAAAATATTCAAGTTCATTGGTTATCAGGAAGGGAAGTCAAAACCACAGTGTGACACTGCCATACACCCACCAGAGTGGCTAAAACGGAAAGACAGAACATGCCAAGTGCTGACAAGGGTGTGGCCCCATGGGAAGGCCCAGCCACTGGTGGTGTGACCTGGGACAGCGCAGGGAAGAGAGTCCCACAGTGCACACGGAAGCCGAGCATATGCAGGCCCAGACTCCCTTCCCGGGGGGAGACCCACCAGAAACGCTTGTTCACTCCCAAGCAGCACATCCCGAGCACTGAGCGGCGCTCTGCACCACGGCTCCAGGTGGAGCCACCAGGCGGCCCTGACCGCAATGAGGATGGACAGAGACAACCACCGCAAGGACTGCCCACCCATCACGGGAGCCACAAGAAACAGACACGCACATCCATCGGGACTCCATGCACGTCCAGGTCAGAGGGTTGGTGGAGGGTTGACGGGGGGGCTGCGGGGCTGATGCCTGTTACCCACATGTCCATCCCCCCCCCCCGCCCAGAAAATCGCTGAGCTACACACTGAAGACTCATGCACTTTTCTGTATGTCTGTTACACTTCGGAACAATTATGTTTTAAAAAATAGTTGAGAGAGAAAACAAACAAACAAGAACTGATGTGCCAGACACGGCCGGCAAAGCTGTCTGCGCCCCTCCCACGTCTGCAGGGCCACCTCAGGGCAGTGACTCAGGGAAGGAGCACCTGGGGACACGGGGCCTTGGGCTCCCTCTCCTCAGGCCCCAAAGACCAAGGCAAAGGCGCCTCTGGTGCAGGCACTGCTCCCGCCTTCACAAAGGTGCAGCCGGAAGGGTTGGGTTCTGGAAGACGGAAAGTGGCCAAGGCAGAGCGAGCGGCCTGGCAGAACAGAAGTAGGCAGCTGGGGATTGGAACAGAGGTTCCAACACTGGGGGTGTGGACAGGATCAGACAAAGACCCTACCGACTAGGACCTCCAGGGCTTGGGTTTCAGGATGGGGGAGGCCAAGGGGCGGCCGGGCTGCCAGCAGCACGGGTGCGAGTTTGTACTGTGCCCCTGGGACCACGCAGGAGCAGGCACTGAGGGTGAGCACTAACCACCCACCCCACGCTGCAGGCAGAGCTTGGGTTCCAAACCTGAGTGTGAGGGGTGGGCCAGCGAGTGCCACCAGGGCTGTCTGAGGCCTCGCTCTAGCCCTTTCCATGCCCCGCCCGCCATCTCAGAGAGCCCACATCCGGCTCCTGCTCACGAAGAAATGAATTCATTTCTCAAAGCAGAACTTCCTTTGCACAGCACCCCCTCGTCGGGCCAGTTCTGGAGTGAGGCTGCTGAAGCCCAGACCAGCCTCCCTGGCAGGTGCCAGTAGCTCCCCAAGGTCAGACTCCCCCCAGACGGGGCCTGCACGGCCCACCTGCAGGAAGTCTTCCTGACCCTGGGAGCAGCCTCAAGGGCCTCACCTTGGACAGCCAGCCCACGCACAACATGCACCTTACGCCCTAGTCTTTCTCCCACCACCTCTCAGGGAGGGCTAGTGGCTCCCCCCAGGGCCTCTCTGGGAGAATCAGAGCACCTGTCTAGGCTTCTTGAATCGAATGTTCTGTGTTAGATTAGTGATGTCTGACCAGGTGAGGGTGTGGGGGAAGGAATCACTAGGGCCCTGGAACTGCATTCCTCATTTGTGGGTTCTTCAACAATTGGCTGGTAATTTGCATTCCACTAGACTAGCCATTTAAAAAAACAACACATTTTTATTGATTTTGAGAGAGAGAGAGAAAGTAAGAAGGAAAGAGAGAAACGTCAATGTGATAGTGAAACATTAATCAGCTGCCTCCTGCATGCCCCCTACTGGGGATCAAGCCCACAACCCGGGCATGTGCCCTGACGGGAATCGAACCAGCAAACTTTAGTGCACAGGGCGATGACCAACCAACTGAGCCACACTGGCCAGGGCGGATGAGCCCTTACTATGTGTTAAGTTCTCAGAGACACAATCCCTGCTCTGCTCTCAGGGTTTATCTTAGGGCCGTAGGATGCAGGATGGTCAGCAAGTAAACAAATGAACAAAATTATGGCTGGTGATGAGAAAGGCTACGGCACGGAGTGTGGGGGTCGGAGGAGGCCTCCCTGGAAGGAGAGCCTGGAGCAGAGGCTGCCATGCGGGGTTGCCAGCCTGTGGAGGCACCAGAAGGGCATGCCAGACAGGGAGCCCAGCAAGGGCACATGCCCCACGGCTCGAAGGCGGTTGGTGCATGTGAGGCACAGAGAGACCAATGCGGGCGGCTGCAGCGAAAGGCACCTGGATGCTCCTGGCTGTCCTTGGCATTGTCCAGAAGTTCTAGGGGGCCGAGTTGGAGGTGGGATCCGGGGATGCAAGCTACCTGAGAGGTGTTCACCTGCTGAGAATGGCCTGAGGATTCTGACACCTCCTCAGCACTCACAGGGCAGCTGGGCCGACAGCCTTAACCTCCTGGGGCTAAACCTGCAGGAGCTGTTCCCCAACTGGCTGGAAGCACTTCACTGTTTCAGACCAGGTCGAGCCTTCCACCAACAGCCTCGGGGCTGCCTCTGCCAGCTAGCCACCCTCCCTGCAGCCTCCCCACACAGCCCTCTGAGGCCAGCCCAGCCTAGTCCAGCATCTGGCCTCCTCCAGGGCTCATGCAGACCCCTGCAGTAGAGGGCTGACTTTGCAGATCAAAGCTTTATTTCCACTTGCAAAGGGGGGAACAAGGCTGAGGCCATTTAGTTAGGGTGTGAACCGGAGTTAGGAACCCTCACTTCCCAATCTCTCAAAATCCACAGCTGCAGGTGGGGTTGGGGATGTGAATCTTGGGACTATGTGTTCCCTTTTACTCTTGGAATCAAGGGAAAGACACCATTCCCAGAAGATGCCCCAAGACTGATGAGGTAGAAACAGGATGTTAGGGAACCAGTTAGAATTG